GAATCCTTACGAGATTAAGCAAGTGTGCACTTACGTCAGTGCAATTTGCGTGCGAGGCCAATCAACAAACAAAAACAGATGTACAATTGCATGCATTATTTCGACACCACAAGCCGGAAATTTGGAACTCTTAAACTTCAAAAGAAAATGTGTGCTTAGATGTATTACTATTTTTAACTCTGAACCTAGCTACCACATTTCTATAAGAAATCTCCTACGTGTAGTTCCCGTTTCATGCTAATTAGCACTCATGTTGGCCTTCGAAAGCTGGCTGCCGTGTTCTGCTACTTAGCACTCGTGTTCATGAGTTTAATTTACACTGCATTCTTTTCATGAAACTTGATTTTCCTAAATACAGTATATTTGGTGCCCAAACATATTCTAGTTTTTGTCCACGTGCACATGCATCAAATAACAGATTTCTCCCCAAAAATTGCTAACTCGGTGCTGCTCTTACCTACCTGCTACTGCTGCCGCTCTTGACCTCGAGGCCATCTACAGCTCAGCCTGGTAACTTACCCGGTACCATTTGTTCTATTTGTTCTAGGAAACTGTTTGCTTTTATTACACAGAGTATTCAATTATGTCCGTTAGTTCCCGCATTTTTTTTCTAAATTATGCCCGTTAGACTTTTATTTTTGTTGCTGAAATTAGTGATTAATTGACTTTTTTCAATCTCAAAATCCTATTACATGGAGGTCAAACACTTAATTATCAAAACCGAGGTCATCTTATTTTTCATCGGTGTCATGATCCGCCAAGTCCTACAATCCCCCTGTTTTTACGTGCTCAAAATATATATCTTATCTATGCAACTATTTTACCATGTTTTTGTGTTTTTTTACTATGTAAAAACTTATCATGTTTCATGGCAAAAACATGGGCTACGTAATGATAGAACTGGTGACGCTTCAGGCACATTTCGCTGCAAAACTGTCCCAGTAAAGCAATTGCAAAACTCCTCTCTAACCGTCTTAAGCCTCTTGTCCCCCTACTTGTCTATGGTGACTAGATTGGGTTCATTAATGGGAGAAGCATCACCCATAATTTCATCTACACTAGTTGTTGCCACCTCAGGACAATCTCCACGATGATAATAAAACTTGACTTCTGAAAAGTGTTTCGCTCCATCTCTTGGGACTCCCTTCTATCTATCTTGCACCATTGGGGGTTCTCCTGCAACTGCTCTAGGATTCAAACGCTTCTCCCTTCTGAAAAATGACAGTTCTACTCAATGGTGTCCCTAGGCACTGGATCAACTACAAAACTTGCCTTTGACAAGGCGACCCTCTCTCCCCTTACCTCTTCATCATTGTGGCAGACCTGCTGCAACAGCAAATCCTGCAGGTTCACAATGTCAACTGCTTTCACCACCCTCTCTTTCAAGACCGGCCGCCATCCGTGCTGCAATATGCAGAAGACACTCTCATCACTTCCTCCAAGGCCGCCCATATTCTTAAAAAGATCCTATATGAAACTTCGCCCTCGCCACTGGGCTTGCCATTAACTTCCATAAGACAAACTTTGTTCCCCTGCACCTAGACGACCATCGCTAATACTATCGCTAGTACCCTTTGGTGCCCGATCTCCTCCTTTCCCAAAAACTACCTTGGCCTACACCATATAACTGCCACCTTTTACTAATTTTTATCTCTACGTGTTTTAGTAGATAAGAACATGTTGGAAGCTCTACCTCTATAGCAAATTGCACTATAAAATATATTTTTGTATGCTTAATATTAGTACCACATGTAGAGCAATTGATCTACAGCGGCAGTGGGTGCACTATGCTGAGACCTAGGAGTGACTCCATTCAGCATGGCCTCTTTTGATAGTTATGCATGTGTGTCAGTGTTTTTTTCTTGATATGGAGCTTCATGTAGTAAATGGATCATAATGTATGATTTCATTTTCATTGCACTCTTTGTATTTTTGTCATACTTTAAGGATTTATGGCGTAGGATGTTGCTCCCATGGCATGTGTATTGTGTATTGTTTTGTTGACGAAACACTCTTGGTACGTGCTTAATTTATTCGTGTCATGTGTGTTTAACTGGTATCTTCATGGACAACACATACCACCATATGTGTAAATAACATGGTAACTATGTATCACATATTAGTTCTAAAGAAAACTTATGTATGACAGATCGACATGCATGGTAGCTGGCGTAGCCTAATAACTGGTAGCTACTCCTAACTTCTATTTAACCAACATGGTACCTTATCTATGACATGCATGATAACTGGCATAGCCTGATAACTTTTGACCCGAAAAAGAAGTCATCAAAATATACCAACATAGAACCTAGTTTCGAAGGTCTCATCATGAATTTAATGGTGAAAGGAATTTGAATCGAACCGATGGTTTGAGCTACAAAACATTTTAAGTTTTTGAGATGTGAAGAATCTAGGATGACATAAACTTTTATCCTAATGCATGCATGCATGTGCATGTGGGGAAAAGAGGATGATGATGAAGCGTTTGTATCTATCCCTAAAAACATACCATAACAATCATCAGTTAGTGAGGTCATAAAAAACATTATGGATTATGCAACTACTATTCAAATAACCGAAGCTTGTTAGGACGACGTTCTGAGGTGAGATCACATTCATGGAGCCACGTGTTGTCGTACACACTCCCGAGATCATTTTTGTTGTTGCCCTCCTGGTTCACGACGCCTTCTTTTTGCAGAAAATTTATTTCCATCATTGTTATTCCTTGTTCACATCCAACTACAATCCTGCATGAATGGGGTGTTCTCATCAATAAAGGTAAG